AGTAAATAGAACTTGTCGGAACCCTCCAGTTACAACTGGTCCCCCTCTCTCTATACAGTAAATAGAACTTGTCGGAACCCTCCAGTTACAACTGGTCCCCTCTCTCTATAGTCTGATCCCCTCTCTCTATACAGTAAATAGAACTTGTCGGAACCCTCCAGTTACAACTGGTCCCCTCTCTCTATACAGTATACAGGTGTCTGATCCCCTCTCTCTATACAGTAAATAGAACTTGTCGGAACCCTCCAGTTACAACTGGTCCCCCTCTCTCTATACAGTATACAGGTGTCTGATCCCCTCTCTCTATACAGTAAATAGAACTTGTCGGAACCCTCCAGTTACAACTGGTCCCCCTCTCTCTATACAGTATACAGGTGTCTGGTCCCCTCTCTCTATACAGTATACAGGTGTCTGGTCCCTCTCTCTCTAGATACAGGTGTGTCCCTCTCTATACAGTAACCCTCTCAGTATACAGGTGCTGGTCCCTCTCTCTCTATACAGTATACAGGTGTCTGGTCCCTCTCTCTATACAGTATACAGGTGTCTGGTCCCTCTCTATACAGTAACTTGTCCTTCTCTCTATGCAGTAACCTGGTCTCTCTCTAGTTACAACTACACAGTCCCCTCTCTCTCTATACAGTATACAGGTGTCTGATCCCTCTCTCTATACAGTAAATAGAACTTGTCGGAACTCCAGTTACAACTGGTCCCTCTCTCTCTATACAGGTGTCTGGTCCCTCTCTCTATACAGTAAATAGAACTTGTCCAGGAACCCTCCAGTTACAACTGGTCCCTCTCTCTATACAGTATACAGGTGTCTGATCCCTCTCTCTATACAGTAAATAGAACTGTCCGAGAACCCTCCAGTTACATCCCTCTCTCTATACAGTAAATGGGAACTTGTCAGAACCCTCCAGTTACAACTGGTGATCCCTCTCTATACTCTCTATACAGTAAATAGAACTTGTCGGAACCCTCCAGTTACAACTGGTCCCCTCTCTACAGTATACAGTGTATATACAGGTGTCTGATCCCTCTCTCTATACAGTAAATAGAACTTGTCGAGACCCTCCAGTTACAACTGGTCCCCTCTCTCTATACAGTATACAGGTGTCTGATCCCTCTCTCTACAGTAAATAGAACTTGTCGGACCCTCCAGTTACAACTGGTCCCCCTCTCTCTATACAGTATACAGGTGTCTGATCCCCTCTCTCTATACAGTAAATAGAACTTGTCGGAACCCTCCAGTTACAACTGGTCCCCCTCTCTCTATACAGTATACAGGTGTCTGATCCCCTCTCTCTATACAGTAAATAGAACTTGTCGGAACCCTCCAGTTACAACTGGTCCCCCTCTCTCTATACAGGTGTCTGGTCCCCTATCTCTATACAGGTGTCTGGTCCCCTATCTCTATACAGTATACAGGTGTCTGGTCCCCTCTCTCTATACAGTATACAGGTGTCTGGTCCCCCTTCTCTATACAGTACACAAGAGCTGGGTCCCCTCTATCTAGAAGGTATACCAGGGCTTGGTCCCATCTCTTTACAGAATGTACAGAGGCCAGTATCTTTCCCTCTATACAGTATACAGGGGCTTTGTCCCCTCACTACATACAGTTTGAGACACAAGTTAAAGCCTTACTTTCAGTAAACAGGGATCGGCAAATTCTTTAAGTTGGTGAACTATATCAAAATGTCAAACTCTAGCTGTGAGCACGACACAAACATAGGAACTACTCCAGCTTGGAAGTCCTCTTACTTACTTGAATGAAGTATACACAGTTTTGGCACAGAGCCACTCCAGAATAACGGTTGGTCTCCATTACTACAACACGACCTTACATAATTATAGCCTATCACGTCTGTGATACCGTTCTATACATGTGAGCTCAATACTGTGTATGAAATTCAATATGTTAATAACCTACCACCAGCACACATAGTAAATGTAAATAGATATTGACAGCAGGTGAGTTCATGTGTAAATGATGGCAGGTCAGGTACATTAGACACAAGTTGATCTACGTTTCATTTCTGATGTATGTGACCACGGCACTTGGCACTAGGACAATGGGTGGCCCGTGTAATCTCACTGATATGGAATATATCATACAGAACTTATTTCAAATGAAATTCTCTTTGTGAATCAGTTCACAGTAACTGGAACTGATTAATCAGTTCTACTTGCTAGACGGTGCTAAAATGCATTGGGACAATTTGGGGTGACCGCTTCAAACCATGCAATATTTTTCTGTGAAAGTTACAACTTTTTGACTAAAATTACATGTTTGATTCAGAAAATTTAAACCGGAAGAGAAATACATTTGTTCATAACTTCTTAAAATAAAAATATCCTTTTTTTTTCAATCAAAGATTGGATTACAACCCTGTGTTGGAATCAAGTAACATGGCAAATCTCTCTTCCACTGTAGCTGGTTAATAAACTGTACTTTAACACTCGAGAAAATGGTTTTTACTGTTAACAAACTTTAAAACTTGGAATAATGATATTCAACCATAAACCTGTCTCTTCTAATATCAAGTGTTTAAAAACTTTCAATGAAAGTGGATTAAACTCTTTGGCAATCATTAGGGTTTCAAACTTTCATACTATTTTGCTGATATATTTGATAGCAAACGCACATGGTGAAATTCTCTACAAAGCATGAAATAAGTTGTCAGAAATAAATTACAAAACATTTTAGGAAAGCTTTTCCTTGCACTTTTCTCTCTAATCTAACCCCTTGATCTGCAAAATTGAATGTTGTACCAACTTGTAGTTACTAATTAATCAAAACAGCTGAGACCAACAACTCCACACGATATCTATCATTATTGTTTTATTTGCCCGTGGTTTGATCAGGATGCCTTTCAGTTTGTAGCTAACATAATCCAATATGTCCACCAAAATGCCACTTAAAGTCTTAATTCCATATAATAAATAAACTGTCAATCGAACTTCATCCAAAAGCTTTGAAGTCCTCTCGCCTGCCTTAATTCAATCAATAGGTGCCAGCTTCATTGACAATATAGCACTTCACAAAAACAGTCCGGTTTGATGAGGTACAAATACAGCATCCCCTACTACCTATACCCTGGCCCACTACAGAAGCAGGACTTCAAGGAAGATCGGGATGGAATATATCAGCATTAGCGCCTAATTAGTATACTATATTAGGATATGTGGAGACATAAATATGTCTGTACATGATGAAGGAAGAGATTTTTCCAAATATAGACTTAATGAAAGAGAGAAGTTGGAAGGTTATGTGAATAATGAGTAGTTGTAGGGAATGCAGTATCCTTAAATCATTTGACAAAGATGTTTGGATGGAAATTGGAAAGATTAATTATACTTTTCAAAGAAGGATGGAGACAAGCTAATATTTATTGAAAATACTCTGTGTAGCATATTCTTTGTGCTCTAATTTTATCTTCATCAAGATAATGAATAACAGTCAACCAAGGTTTCATGGAAACAGAAATATGTGTATAGTCCTTGCAAGAATGTATAGAACGGACGCAGAAAATAGATATACAGCGTTCCACATGACAAACAAATAATATTCACTGTACCAAATTGTCAACAAGAAAATGAAATGGCTGTAATAAACACTATTACATCTTAAAACACAGTAAACTACACCATTCTATTACTTTACAAAATTAATAACACTTTGTACATCCATTGCAGTAAAGAAGTTGTCAATTCAGGGAATTTGTTCTTTTCCATCATACCAATTTATTAAATGACACTTAAAGAAGTGAAACTTTCTACAGAAAATTTATTTTCTTGTTAAAGGTTTTCAAACAAGAAATTCTTCATAAATTCTCTGCTTCATTGAAAAGACTTTTGTATCACCTCTCATTAAATGTGTTGTGCGGTAATAATATTTATTGAAGTATCAACCTCAAATCATTCAAGAAGAGAGTTTCATGGCTTTGTCTGTCTCATGACACATTCTTTAAAGCACAAAAGAAAATTTAACAGAAAAAAATAAGTTTGAAAACAAATCCAATTCATGAGTGAGAAAAATATAGATAATACTGAAATTGTTTATTCTTTGTTAATGTCAGGAAACCTGTACAACCAAACCTAGAACGTCTTTAGCCACAAGAATATTGATGAGTTAGTCGCCTGGCACATTCCTCCACAGACAAGCACCTGCAGGAGGTCTGATAGACAAATTACACAAATCTCATATCTTATCCCGGGGAATTTTGCCGCAAATAATAGGACTGTCATAGTGACTAATGACGTAATTACGTCACGGCTCAGGCCAAGGAGATAGACTCAACGCTCTCACTAGCCACCTTGTCAAAGGAATGGCTTCAAACAGTAATGGTGAAGATTCTATCTGCATTTACATGGTTAGAACACCAGTAGACTTCTCTGGAAAATAAACTGGTTGAGAATCTCTATATTACATAAAAGAAATATGGCCCTTCAGAAGAACATAACTTCCAAAACTTGATGCCATGTCATCATAAAGTTGTTGAGAACTGGAAATATATCCATTCCCATGGTACAACTACTGAGACAATGACGTCATGTCTTCAGCTTTCTGTTATGAAAGAAATTATACATTGAAAATGCAATATGTCTATTATATATATATTTTTTAAGTATAATCACATCTTCACATCTGCAAAATACTGTCACTCCGTGGACTAGTTGTGATAATCCTGATATGGAATATTACCAAAATGCTAAAAGTCACAAGAAAGCAAGCAAACATTTCTTTAAAAAATCCCCAGTTACCATGACAACATAAAAACATATGAACACCGATACAAATCAATTGACAATATATTCTGAATATTGTCTGATCCAACAATCTGAAACAATAATACATAAAACATTTTAAATAATAATGAAAAAAACACACATTTTAAATAATATTGAAAAAGCATATCATATAAAACAAACCAAATTGTCCCTGAAATGATAAAAGCCCTCCACATGACAGTGCTATAAAGAAAATGAAGTTGACAACTTACTCGACATAATAGATCCGTCCTCCAGAGCTCAGCTTAGCTTCCCAGCCTTCGACCAACTCAATATTAACTTGCTGAAGGTACGTCTCCTCAGAGGCCATATTGTGATCTCCAAACCGTTAGGTATAAGTTACATAATGCTCCATACTGATTTGCTGGAAGCTTCTCTGGGGGAACCGTTTCTCCATCACCATCCAACTTGCCTGTATTGGCAATTTTGGCGTGAGTACCGGTAGCAGTAAGAAGCAATGCTTCTTCTCCTCACCCCAGTGATTGCTTCCCTCTACCAGCGTCCCTGGGGAGGAGTCGGCATGGTACTGCAGCTCTACCTGAAATAATGAAAAGGTTTTCATACCATGTTAAATATTAGATAAGCATCAAATGGACAAAAGTAAAGAGCTGGGAAGATGTTTTTTTGAGTTTAGATGGTCCATAGAGTATACTTGAGTGAGATGTTGTGACCGCTGGGTAGGGTTTAAGGTTAGGTTTGGCTCGTAATGTTCCAGACGAACATTGGAGTGATTTGTGTTTATTTCTATGTTAGTTTACTTCTGGTAAAATATCGAACCATCCTAATTGGTATTTTGCAAAGGACTGATTGTAGTGGTGTTTTCTTGTTTGGCAATGGGAAGAGACTCACTTGGGAAAATTCTTTGCAGAAACTACATTGAACAAGCAAAAAAATGTGAGCATGGCTCACTCATACTATGACAAATTCAGCTGAACGACAATTAATAATGATTATTCTTGACAAAAATAAAATATCTGTATCAATCTTCGCACTGCCTCTTTCCTACAAACGAAGAAGCCGCTACCCAAATCTGAAAACAATCCATTGAATGATTGTAAAGTTATTGGTTGAACAAATTTGACGGGGTTTCTTTTTCGAGTTCAAGGGATGTTACTGTGTGATAATTCTTGATAAATTACAAATATCCAAATTAAAATTTGCACTGCTCCCTTTTATACAAAGAAGCTGTTTTTTCCAAATCAGAAAATATTTTGACCAATGCTTTTCTCAAGTTATTGGTTGAAAACCTTTTCATAGTTCAAATTTGTAAATTCTTGTAAAAAAAATCAAAATATCATACCAAATTAGCACTGCACCTCTCCTTTAGACAAATAAGGAGGTCCAAAAATTTAAAATAATCCTCAAAACAGTTTTCAAGTTATTGGTTGAACAAAACTCTTCGGCCTGACAGACGGAATTCCTTGGCATAACTTTAACCTGCAAGGTTGGGAGTATAACTTGTGATATAAGAGGAAATGGCAGCTCCTAATGTAAGTGTTTGCAACACTAGGTCATCTCACACTCATAATTTTTCTTATTTGCCTTTCATTTTCACACTGGAGCATGTGTTAAATGGGTCAATGAGTGGCACCTGAGCACATGCGTTACTCTTAAGGGAGGCAACCCTGTTTTGGTCTGCCAGAGGCCAAAACCTGTTAATGTGTATTCCATTTGTAATGGTGAAGTAAGTGGGATGCCATGAAATATTTATCATGTATGTCAATGTCAACACTACAGCACTGAAATGTATGTTATTGCAATGAGTAAAAATCAATCAAATGTTCATCCCCTAGCATACCCACATGCATGGTCATGGATTCTATGTGGAAATCAGTCTCAGTGACTTGTACAACAGACTAACAACTAGTCTCTGAAATGAACATATTTTACTGAAAAAAGTTCATAGTAAAAAAAAAAAAAAAATGAAAAGGAGCCCTGAGACTTTCTTCATTTTCAGAAGCTGAGTAAATCTAGACTTGCCACATTTTCTAGACTTGCGTGGCCTTTCTTGGATATATTTGCTTCAGGGTCTGTACGACAGACTATTGTACCACCTGTGTACACTGATATCACTCAAGAGAACCTAAATTGGACACCAAGTCAAATTAAGTGGCATGCAGATGCCTACACGATGGCAGCTAGCACCTTCACTCTTACTGAAACAGTTGGATGCGCCAAATATACAGAATTTTTGTGGTTTTGATTACACTTAAATTCTTTTTTAGGCAGAATTCTTTTCCAAACCCTGCGGCAATGTTACACACCTGTTGTACAGTTAGTTTTGTTCGTTGTATATTTTCACCTGTCCTCTTTTGTTGAAGTACCTTGGATAAAAGTTAAGCTTGGCACCTTAAGTAAGGGCTGGTCAAGTAATCGTAACTGTATCCTTTTGTTTAGGCTACACGGCAGTTGGAAGCCATGAAATAATCCTCTGGCAGTCATCATGCAAACACAGACACCTTGTACACAGGCTCGTACAGGTGAGTGAGTCAGGTCTAGCCCAGCTTTGGACAGTATTCCAGTTACTTCACATCATGTCAGCTTAGTGTCGGAGGACGTCTGAAGCGATGCACATGCCAGACACTTACCAGACTGGTGAAACCCACCAGCTGTCAAAACTATACACAACTGTAGACTATATATAATATATATGCTTAACATATCTGACTGTGATTTTGAAATGATTTGCAATCAATAACAGTTTCTTTTCAAATCTTTGAAGGGCATTTAGAAGTGGAATGCATATGGTGTTATTCACAATAAAGAAGTTGATATCCATAGATCTTTCTTTTTCTTAAACAGTTTCTTTGATGTTTCAGAATTGTGTTTCTTTATCAACCCCAACCCCAAGAAAAAGCTTTTCTTATACCACATAAAAATTAAACTACAATGAGGGAATTTGACTAAAGAACCTTTAAACAGTATTTCATTTATTTCAAGGGATATTTCGATGTAAGTAACAAAAACCCAGAAATGATGCAGGAGTCCAGAGTTTACCACTTGAGTAAAACTCCACAATTCACTATGTAGTTGTGTCCTTAACAATCTAAGATATATTTATGGAATCAAATCCCAGTGGACCAGTGTCAGCACAATATCCATGCAAGTGAACTTCACCAAAGTGGTAATGATATGATGACCTGTGTCACCTTACAAGGAACGGCGGGTTAGCCTAGTTATTGCTGACATGATGCCGAAAACACAGGTTAGATTCTCAAAATAGGAACAATGTGCGAAGCCCATTTCTAATGTTATCTACTTCGATACTGCTGGAGTATATTGCTAAAAAACTGTGCATGATCTCACTCACTCACTCACTCACTTCACTCACTCATCTAAGATCCTCCCACCTCAAGCTGATAACCTGTAATGTAACCAAAATACTGTTCAAAGGGCATCACCTACTCCTACTGGTTTGTGACAACAAGCCTCTTCCGTATAAAACATATTACAAGTGTCCTTGAAAGTATACACACATTTCCTCCTTGTTTTTATCTATTTCTACATCGTATAAAAATATGAAAAAGAGGATCCTACTTAAATATATAAAATCATATACCATGGGTGATCTTTGCTAAACAGACACCACTGGAACTACATCATTAAACATTCATAAGGACGTTCTGTGAGTGGGCCCTGATTGCGTATGATTGGCTGCTTGGCAATGGTGTCATAGCAACAGAATCTTGTGTTGCCATGGAACTGGAACATGTTCAGCTTTATATAAATATATAAAAGAAAGTACTCAATTCAAGTGCACCAGTAGGTGTCCAGTGGTGGTATATGTTTAATACTGTACATGCACAGATGGATGGGTTTGACATTTCAACCATTCTCAGAGACAGAGACATAAAACTCAACCATTTATCCTGACAAAGTCAAAATTAGACTTGAAGAAAAACAGTAACCTTGGAGTCAAGACCAGGTCTTAAATCTACATCCAACAAAATCGGTGAGGAGATTTATCTTCAACTTCAAAGCCACGAAGAGATGGTCGGATTGGTTATAATGAACTCACATTATCCACCTATCAGCTTCAGACATTTGCTGCTAGGAAATGTAATTGAACATGTGCTTGAATAATTGGGAAATAAATAACCTGCCTTCATTATTAGCTGACTTTTATCTATTATTGTACTGGAAAGGACTCTTTTCTGAATGTATGTTATTCTCACTTTTGCTCCCCGTCTCCCGTCGATCTCTTTCATGACTTTCTAGACACCCAATCTTCCAATAAGATTCGAAGATCCGGGTTTGAATTGATCTTCAGTAATCCATGCTCATCATAAGAGGGACTAACTGGATTGGGTCGTCAGGATCGCTGACTTGGTTGACACATGTCATCGTATCCCAATTGCGTAGATCGATGTTCATGCTGTTGATCACTGGATTGTCTGATACAGACTTGATTATTTACAGACCGCTGCCATATAGCTGGAATATTGCTGAGTGCAGCGTAAAACTAAACTCAATCACTCCAATAAGATTATCTCCTCAATGAGATTCTCCCTACCCCACTCTCCTGTGACAATTTTTCCACTCAACCCTATCACAAGATTTCCCCCATCCCTACCTCCAGTGAGTTCTCACCACCCAACACTTCCCTGATATTCTTCCCTACCCCACCCTATCATGACATTCACATAACCTAACCCTCTGGTCCATTCTTGCCAACCAATCCATCCTTTGTTTTCATCGGTAAATCTTCCCCCTAACCCACCCTCTCCTAGCTCTCCCCACCCTAACCTCCCATATCAATTCTCTACCCAGGCCATCCCAAACATTCTTCCTAAATCTAATACACATGAAGTCCCATTATATGGGGTAACATTAACAAATTTGCTGGTCTAGAATCAACATGTTCACAAAGTTCTGTAGAATGAGACATCGATAGACGAGTGGAAGACTTGAGCAGAACCAAGCCTAGACTAACAACTAGTCTCTGAATATAATGAAAAGGAGCCCTGAGACTTTCTTCATTTTCAGAGACTTGCCACATTTTCTAGACTTGCGTGGGCTTTCTTGGATATATTACTTCAGGGTCTCTACGACAGACTAAACCAAGCCCTCCACTGAGAACTGGCCAGTCCTGCTATTGGAGTCGCCCTGAAGCTAACCACATTTAGTGAGGTACAAATCTCACACGCAGATAGCTGTGACACTGGCGACCGAACCAATCAGTGACAGGGACCCCCAGCAACCTTCCCCAGACCACTAATCAGCTGCCACCATAAGCTCTGATTAGACGCCTCTTCACCAGTAATTGCTACGTGTGCACAAAACCCAGACACTGAACTCTCAAGTATCCAGTGTCTTTAAACCACCAGTGTCCTTCTACATTGATTGAACAGGGTCGTCTTATCAGTCCTGCATGTCCATTATGAAAAGTGAAGTCCTTTTTAATACTGCTTGTCCATTATGAAAGGTAAAATCCTTACTAATAATGTATGTTAATTATGAAAGGTAAAGTCCTTATTAATACTTCGGGTCTATTATGAAAGGTAAAATCCTTACTAATAGTGTATGTTAATTATGAAG